ATATCGTGTGAATAGCACCGATAGGTGAGCCTAAAGAGTTGTTCACAGTTTTATTTCAATTGCAATTGTATTAGTAATGATGTACTCAGTTTGAACATCACTTCAATCTGTGTATTCTTATATAGACGAGAGAGAGAGAGAGGGGGGAGGGAGAGAGAGAGAGAGAGCAAAAAGGATGTATATACTCTGTTTAGCATTGAATGCAAGCCCTAACGAGTTGTTTGGCCATTGCTTTCGCTATTTCTTTGGAAGAAATGCTTTGAGGCAGAGAAAGGATGACATTGTTTTGCAGTCGTTATATCGTGTGAATAGCACCGATAGGTGAGCCTAAAGAGTTGTTCACAGTTTTATTTCAATTGCAATTGTATTAGTAATGATGTACTCAGTTTGAACATCACTTCAATCTGTGTATTCTTATATAGACAAGAGAGAGAGAGAAAGAGAGAGAGAGAGAGAGAGAAAGAAAGAAAGAGAGGGAGAGAGAGAGAGAGCCAAAAGGATGTATATACTCTGTTTAGCATTGAATGCAAGCCCTAACGAGTTGTTTGGCCATTGCTTTCGCTATTTCTTTGGAAGAAATGCTTTGAGGCAGAGAAAGGATGACATTGTTTTGCAGTCGTTAAAAGGATGTATATACTCTGTTTAGCATTGAATGCAAGCCCTAACGAGTTGTTTGGCCATTGCTTTCGCTATTTCTTTGGAAGAAATGCTTTGAGGCAGAGAAAGGATGACATTGTTTTGCAGTCGTCCAACACATCAACACATTTATACAGCGAATGAGTGCAGAGTTTTAGCAAAATATTTGTTTGGAGAACACATTTGCAGAGAGAAACAGCTCTCGTAATAAATAAAATAGTTTTGCCGTTATATCGATATACAATATATAGCACACAATGTTTGCCTTTTTATCTGACATTTCAATTGAATTATCGCTTCATTTAAGAAAATTTTTCAAACTTTGAATATAATGATAAATACCGATCGGAACAGATGTTTCATAAATAGCTTTTGTCAATAATTTATATGTTTTCTACCATTTATAGTATTTTTATGTACTTCAATAGTAATATCATTTGCACATCAACTGATAATATAATGATAAATACCGATCGGAACAGATGTTTCATAAATAGCTTTTGTCAATAATTTATATGTTTTCTACCATTTATAGTATTTATATGTACTTCAATAGTAATATCATTTGCACATCAAGTGAATTATTATTTTTATCGTATGTATTGCCTGACATTGAAAAATATATTGTGAATCTGTACATTCAAATGACTAATAAAATGATTGTTAAGAAATTTATATACTTAAGTTTCATAAACTCTTTATTTTTAAAATATTTTTATTACAAATTCATTAACAGATATTCATATAATTTTTGTGTTTTTAATAAAATTATGCTTATATACAATGGTAACGTTATAATGTATTTGTGTTTAAATGCTAACTTTAAAACATTTAGTTATATACTAAAATTGGTTTCATTAGTACATTCAAATTGTCTAGTTCAGAGTTTGGGTCAATATTCATTTCAATAGAGATTCCTTATATAAATTTATAAGATATTGAGTCCACTGTTAATAAAATAACAAAAAATGTCAAGCTAATGCGCGTATAAATTACAAAAAATTATTAAAAACAATAAAGAGTTTTAAAATGTATAAAAATCAAAGAAATTGAGTTAAAGATAATGTGCTAGATAATGTGATAAATCTATAAAACAAAGCAAATAATCATAAAATGAGAAATGAAGCGATTCGTGAATACGATTGAAACATAATTGAGAAAATATATCACAGGATAACTAATTGATAAAAATGTATTTCACTTTAAGTTACAATTATATATCTCAATATAAGTTAGAAAACAAAATATTTGCCTCTTTTGTAAACATTGATTATAACAAATGATTGATTGACTCTGAGATGAACCGCTAATCGATGGATCAAATTATTGATTGATTAGCGAATAATTGAGTTATTATTTGAACGCTTCTATCAATGAGTGAAACACAATGTAATGAATGTATAGAAAAAACACAACAGTTTTGACGCCGACTGTTGAAGTGTGAGCTCTTGTGACCGATCTTTCAGTAACTGATCCCATGGTATGGCATGTGCTATGAGAGGGCTGTCATATGGGAAGCGTTTCGCAAATTCCGAGCCCATTATCATCACAACTATGGCTCTGAGGGGCGCCTAAACTGTTCAAAACGATCTCTTCGTTGGACTTTCGTTTCGGGTTATGTTTGCCGTCCTTTGCGTTATAACTGAAACGGTTTTGTTTGAGGAGATTATTGCGGCGGTTGTGTCCAGACGTACAGCACGAACACAGAATCCGTCGGAAGGCCCGCCGGAAGTCACGCGACCAACAGGCGTAGATGACCGGGTTCATCGCACTGTTCAACCAACCTGTCCACATATACACCATACACCAGGTTAGGCAGTTAGGCACACATCCAGGTACTACACAACACCATATTACACCAAATGCTATCAAATACTGCACTATTATTCGCTAAACTTTCAAAGTCTGTTGAATTACTTTTGCCTCAATAATTATAAATGATATGAATATAGGGGTGAACAGGAAGGCCCGGCATCTCCAGGGATGCCCTCAAACACTGTCTAATGGAAATCGATTTAAAAATAGCAAATGTCTAAACGAATTTAAGTTATAGAAATTGTTGTCAATTTTGCCTAAAACCAGAACTTTTTTGAATTAAAGTTCTTAAGATAGGATTTGTTTTGGGAAAGACTGCACACAAACAACCATCGGATGACTCGTGGCCACCCATTCATATAAATAGCGTACATAATACTCGTAATATAATACAGTGTATCGGCAAACCACATGCATATGACATATAGACTAGTGAATGGTAAGACATACCCAACCAGGTTACCACTGAGCCCAGTAACTCGGGCTCGAATACGCACGACTCGGCACAGATACCCATTAATATGTTTGTTACAAAGAAAGGCAACCTATTCATCAATATATACACCATATCTATATTATATGATATTTTTGCCTAAATTTTTGTTCTCGCATACAAATCAAATTGTATTACGAATAACAATAAGTCTTAAGTTTATTCAATTTCCTGAGGATATAAACAAATATCGGAATACTTGCCAACAGAGGATGAATACTCCCATCACTATTCCCAACGTTTTGGCCGCTTTTCTCTCTGTTTAATATATGTATGATTTTTGGGTTCCCAACCGTTTTTCAATTATGTTTTATGTTTTTCATATAATAAATGTGTTTTCGCCAAATATTATATATTAAAAATATTTTGTTGTATTTTTTCAATGCATCAAATGTTTTGCCAAAACGTGAATTCATACATAGAATAGAAAAGGAGAATACAATTGATAAAAATGGTGTTCGCTTTGAGTGGCAAATGTAATGAAATATTGAATTTCTAATGAAATAAATTGAGTGAAAGAGAAAACCTTTGGCTAATTTGGCTAATCTTCTGCCGACAGACCAATTAGTCTTCATATTTCTGCTCCTAATTGAGGAACACTTTTCCAAACCATTCTCATCGGCGGTAATAAAATCCTGATTGTGTTCATCAGACGAGTCGCCAGAATATTTGGGACGACTGTTATTCTGCGCGGAATTGGCTATAGTTTTGCCGCCCCTATGCATACGTAAAGTGATTGCATTGTTGTTTCCGGAGGTATCACATGCCGAGTGAATCTGTTTGGCCCCCAGTTTTAGACTCCGGGTCTGCTTACTGGCCACCACGTAGATGCGGTAGTAAGTGAACACCATTACAATGAGTGGGCCGTAAAATGATATCGTCGATGAAAATACTAGGTATCCGACGTCGTTCGTGAATAGACATCGGTATGGCGGCGCCGGCTCCTGATTATCGCCGCCAATCCATACGCCAAACCAATTATTATAGCAATAAATACCAGAGATTATCAGATTTTCTCATAACAATAATCATATCGATTTAAGGATTACTTTGAGTCCCAAATCTCAACGCGTTTCGCTCATTAAAATGCAATTACCTTTTGGACGGCTCTCCACCACAAGATCGCTGGGAATGAGATCAGCGCCGAACAGATCCATAGAAATGCTATAAAAATGACCGCTTTGTTGGGTGTCATCCGCGATGGATAAGTCATGGGATCAGTTATGGCCCAATACCTGTCTATAGGGACAGAAAATTACATTCAATGATTATTGCTTGCGATTAGAAGTGAATAAAATAGTAAATGATTAGCAATTGATATGCAAGTGATAGTCGAGGGGAATGACTGCAAATGACTGCAATGAATGCATACCTAATGAGATGACACAGAGGTTGAGAATGGATGCAGAAGAAGCCAATACATCAAAACTGTGCCATAAATCACACCTAATATTAGGCAAAACGAAGTCATTTATCACGAGATTCTTGACACGAGACAACTTTGCTAATCTCATTAATAACTAAATTAAATAAGTAATAGGAAAATGTGTTTCAATACCAGTCCTGCCCGAAGATCCACCACTTGTTCATGACTTCGTGGACCACAGAGAAGGGCATAACTATAGCGCCGACGAGACAGTCGGCCGCCGCTAAGGAGGCGACGAAATAGTTGGTAACGGTATGTAAATACCTCTCTCTATAGACACTAAGCATTGTTAGAGTGTTTCCGAACACAACGATCACACAAATGATGGCCAGAATGACAGCCAGGAAGGGGTGATGTATGCGAAGGTCCGGCTCTAAGATAATTGTCGTTATTTTAGTGCTATTTTCGCTCAAAAGTGTGGCTAAAGTCGTGGAACTGATTGTTTGATTCTCTAATGAATTCAATGCGATATTTGCGGATATGTTTGAGTCGATTGAGTCGACACTTTGGGACACATTAACGCCTGTGTCGGCGATTATGTCGGAGTTGTTCTCGTTTTGCGTGTAATTAATCCAATTGTTCAGACATTTGAGTGTTGAGTGACAGTCGACTAATTGGAGGGATGAGTTCCACCCATCACTGGAACTGTTGGTCAGGGATGTGCCGTTCAAAGCAAGCTCATGCTCTGCGTGGAGCTGAGCTGCCGGTGCCCACTGCCAAGTGAACCGGTTGAACAGTGCCAACACATCAGTCAAGTTGGCCGTCACTGACATGGGATGACCAGAATCTACAGAATCTAGCGGTGAAGTCGTGGTCATCACTGTGTCAGTGGAGGACATGTGAGCAGAATATCTCCATATTTCATGAGATTAGCTCCAAGTGGCAAAACTTCCAACACATACCTGTGCTCTCGATTAACACAACACACACTATACTGCTGTAGAAGCGATGCTCACTACCAGTGCACAACATATTTACAGACAAATCGGGCGATGAATTTGAAATATTAGTTAATTTTTTTATATCGTGCACTCATGGGAACGACACATATATTTGATACCAAAACTTATAGTATATATATATTGAGTGCCAAAGTAGGAGATGTCGTGATTAATAGCCAGACATACATTCACTTCTAATGTGTGCACATGTTTTCCAACACTTCTCTAAACGCATTCATATTTAAAGCCCTGGAAAGGCATTTGCAGCACAAGTAGACATTCAATCCATGACCTGATGGTTGAGCCAAACATCAATTACTGGTGCAGTCTTTATATATATTCACCGTTAGATTACTTGTGGCATAATTTGCATGAATTTCACTTCATATCAATAGTTATTAACGTAATATGCGATCAAACGGCCAACGATTTCCTTGAATATTAAAAATGCAAAACAATTTAATGACAGAATCGAGAGAAATGGTTGTGAACTTCAATTCACTACAAATTGATATCACTTTAAGTGTAATCAGTGTAACAGTAAGTTAAGGGTCTATTATTAGCAATTTGTTTTGCTAGACTAAAATAGTGCCCCAATAGTGTACTTTTATTTTATTTAATTCACTATAATTTAGAGTCATTTTCAGAGAACTCTTATTTAATGGTAAGAACCGGTTGAATGTGTTGTGCCCTTAAAAGTCACTTTACTTTAACAGTGTATTCATTAGAAAATAATAATTTTGATTGATTTATAGAAATGAATGGAAAATATTTTTAATAGAATAGAGAAAACGAATGAAAAGATAGCTTTCTTTGTGTAATCTAGTGATCACTCACTCGATTGAGAGAGAGAGAGAGAGAGAGCGAGAGACTGAGAGTGAGTGAGAGGTCGCGTATTAAACACGAAGAATATCTAACGAAATGTCACTTGCATTTGATTCATTCACTCACTCGATTGAGAGAGAGAGAGAGAGAGAGCGAGAGAGAAAGAAAGAGAGAGAGAGAGAGAGAGAAAGAAAGAGAGAGAGAGAGAGAGAGAGAGAGAGAGAGAAATATATTTATTATTTGATGAATCGAATTGAGATTTTCTTTTATAAAAATATTCTTTACTTTTTTCGTTCATTTCTTTTTTATACAACTTTTTCTCTCGCGAAGTGATAAATAGTAAAACTTTTTATAAATAATCGTTATATAGATGTAATATATAGTAAGATAAATAGATGTGATCTGAGTTGGGACTCGAGATGTGGAGATGTGTTGAGATGTGTTTACTTACATTAAGGACTTAAAGTCAAGAATTTTATTTGAATTTTATATGTTGTTTGATTGAGACAATTGTATTTTGAGATCAATTCCGAGAGGGAGAGAGAGAGACTGAGAGAGAGAGAGAGAGAGAGAGAGACTGAGAGTGAGTGAGAGGTCGCGTATTAAACACGAAGAATATCTAACGAAATGTCACTTGCATTTGATTCAAGCAAAAGGATATTTTGATAAATTGTTAATACTTTTGTTTGGCTCCAAATTATTTCTCCTGAGATAGAAAGGGAAGGTTAGCTCTAAATTGCTTTGATCTGACAAACAGAATATCAGCCCCGAAATAAAAGATTATTATAAATATCAAGACTTATATATTATATTAATATTACACTCATATATAGCCAGAGATAACATATCGAGAGCAGAGATTTTTATCCCATAAATTACACCAAATTGTTTCCCCGTAGTTATTATATCTCTTAATTATTTTCCGTATTAACATAAATCTTAGTTAATAATTATTTATTTTGTTTTAAGTGCTACTTATTTATTGCATTCAATAGTAGTTATATACTGTATTTATTATTCCTTGAGTTATATATAAAAACAATAACATACTATCAAACAGTATAACAAATAAAGGATAAAATGGCTAAAAAAGAAAGTCATCTATAAAAATCAATATATATTAAACAATGTGAGAGCACCTGGATTCCGCTTATATTAAATATCCATTAGAGTGTAAAAACATTAAAAATTGATAACAAAAAAATCAACTTTTTTACCAAAAACTATTCGCTATTTTGGGTTAAAATAAAAAGTAAGTTAAAAATTACTTTTTGAGAAATACGATGGTATTTAATTAAATTTATCGAGCTATAAACAACAACGTTAAAAAAACAACATCACAATAACATATATATTATTAAAAACATTTTGCTGCATTTTATGATCATAAGTATATAAATTTATAATAAATAATAATAATATTAGATATCATATTTATGATAAAAATATATTTTTAAATAACTGCACAATTGTACAAAATATAGTATAGTACTTACAAATAAATATTTATTTTGAGATCTTTGTTGTAAACAGTTACCAAATTACAGCCAATTGACAAAAGTGATTACCATGGTATAACACATTCACTTGTCAGTTTAGTTTATCATTAGAAATCTCACAGAAATTTGAAAAATTTTTAATTAAATTTAAATGAATGCCAAACATTGAAAAGCCATTCTAGACTTAATCGTAGGCGACTATAATAGACTTAATTCATTTAATTATATATATTTTGTTTGTATTCATTTATTATAAATGTCTTATTATATCAATTGTTTATTTTTAAACTCATCCATTATAATAATAAATTCAAAGTTTGGGTTTTTTTCATAATCAAAAGCACTTCAATAGAACTTGTTTATAATTTTCAACAGTTTTTAGCCTCAAAGTACTTTTATTAATGATAAAAAATTGTTTTGAATTATTTTACAAGAATTGTATAGATTTAAGTTATAGACAGGTGGATAAGTGTCTGAAATAATTTATTTTAAATGTCAATGTATTATAAATGTAACATTGAATATATAATTGGATTTTCAAACTACATTATGTGTGCAAATAATAAAGCCTATATTTTTAACAGATTTACTAAATATAAATGTTTGATTTCATCAATCGATACAATGTCTTAAAATACAATTATGCTATTCTTATAAATATATACAAGGTTTTTTCATAAAAATAAAATTATAATTAATAATCGATTTTAGTTCATAATAAAATATAACAATTTATGGAAAATTTCATCATTTCGTGCAATGTTTAGGCATTTATTTCGTACTAGAGTTTCAAAAATCCAATAAATTATGAACTAATAGAGTGACAAATACATGAATTACTCAAAGATCTCAATATGAAAGCTACTCTTTATAGTCCATCAGATCTTTTGAGAATTTCGTCACAAATAATGCACTTTTTCATTGACTAAAATATTTTGTATAATGCATTGAATAGCAATGAATTTATAGATTCATATTTTTAAGATCCTATGAATAAAGAAATTGAAGCAAATTCTTGCAAAAAAGAGTAAAATCAGTAAAATATGATATTCTTATATACTGTTTGATTCGTGACTCTATAATAAGTAATAGGATTTTGCAATCTTTTCAATATATCAATGCATTGTAATATTTTTATTTTAAATATTACGTCACGATATGGGAAATTTTTTATTAAAATAAAGTTTAATATAAAAAATATTTTTTGAATGTAAGTCACTTTAAACAATGCATAAAAATACAGTAGTTTCAGTCACAGCATATAACTTTATAATAATAACTAAAGTATTAGTAATATTATGAATAAGTTAAGTATAAAGTAACTGAAAAAACAAATAACATTTAAAAATATTTTCACTTACATTTATGACACACGAAAATAACACAATAATACAAAAAAAACATATTTATACATAAAAATTACAAAAATGAATATTTTGTATTGAAGTACATATAGTATTGAAAGCATTTATATTCCTTGACATAAGAATTGTTATTTCCATAGATTCGTCTCAATTAACTTTGTTTGTGTTTATCAATAAATCAATTTATTTCTGTCATCATATAAAATGTATTTATTACACACGTTTTAACACTAGTTTAGTGGATATAGTGCACAATATAATTATATAGATTTATTAATATTAATATAATTTATGAATTCCCAATATCCATATAAATAGAAAATTAGTATAAATAAATAAAAGGTTCAGTGAAGATTTACCATTATCCGCAGTTTATACAAAATTTGAATAAATGTGAGTCCTATAAGGCGTGTGAGATGTCTGTGTTATCGGTGGTCTCTATTAGATTTGGTTTCTATAGTTAGTTTCAGATCGTATGTCACAAAATGTCTAATAATTCATGACTTAATCGTGAAAAAAGAGCTCAGAGTAGAAAACCGACCAAACATTTCTCAAATGCTAGTTTTGTTTCCAAGTTTCCACTAATTTTGATTCATTTCTTTGTGTTCACAGAATCTCTCACTTTATTTTTATTTCCGATACGAGTCTCACATCTTTTGAATATAATTAGACAAAATACTTTATATGTAAATATGTAATAATTACAACATGCTNTTTCATACAGTCATTGTACCTTTAATATAATTAAAATAAAGATTCGTTAATTAAAACAATTTATGATTTGATTGATATATTAATTTGTCAAACTGTTAGTCAATTTATATTTTAAAATTCAAAGTATATTAATCAATCATTTATATAAAATTTTTAGACATTATTGTAACCACTCTTTTATAACATATAAATAAATTAGGAATTATTCCGAAGAGATTACGAGTAGAAAATGAAAATAACACAGAATTTAGTCACAAAAGTGAAAACTTTCCATTAAAACAAATAAAATATTGTATAATACAAATGCAGTGAAAATAACAGTAATTTCAAAATGAGATCCAATTTACAAAAACTAAGACTATTATATCATAAGCTATTTGTTTGCAAAAATCCTCATAAACATAATGCATTTCGATAAAAATGTTAATAACATTAACTATAAAATTGATTTTTATTTCTAATAATATTAATATCT